TATTTTGTATTCCCAGTCCATGTACAGTCCTGTCCTGTCCTGCCCCTGTTCTGTTAATGTTTCCCTTATGTATTGTGTACATGTTCTGGGTTTAGCTTCCTATCCTTCTCTGGTTCTGGGTTCTACTTGTTCTGTCTTGTTTTCATGTTTGGTGTCCTAGTCTTGCCTTGTTTCTATACTGGATACATTTCTGGTGCAGAGCCTCCCTATTCAGCTCCTGGGAGGTCTACTTATTTCCAAGCTCCTAGTTCCTGGGTTCCGCATGAGAACATGAGAGACAAAAAATAATTTATTTTAATTGTATTTATTTGCCCCACAAATAATTGGCAACCACCAACCTAATCTGCAGTCATGTCTTACCCCAAACCAAAAAGACAAACGGAGAAGGTGGACAAAGCACAATTTTTCACTCCAAAACAGAGCGCGCTCAAAGAACCCTCCCAGGCAGCGGGAAGCCAAGATGGTACGGACGAAGCACATGAGACAGCTCCCTGTGTGAGTACCGATCAGGGCCCTTTAACCCAAGACATAATGCAAGGTATGCTGGACGCGATGTCCGCTAAAATTATGAAAAGTGTACAGACCTCTATAGGAGACCTGCGCAGAGACCTGGGAAACCTTGGGTCCAGAACCTCACGGCTCGAGGAAAAAATGGCCAGCGCTGAGGAGGCATATAACGAAATGGAGGATAAGCTAGCGCGAATGGCGGAGCGCATCACAGCACAGGAGATAAAACAGGCAGACATGGAGGATAGAAGCCGCCGAAACAATATGCGGCTGAGAGGAGTGACAGAGGATGTGGGCATTAATGACTTAACGGTACATGTCACAGAGTATCTGAGAGCCCTGGTGCCCGACATGCCACAAGACATGCTCCTCTTCGATCGTATACACAGGACAGCAATGCACAAATTTCTTCCAGCAGATGCACCCAGGGATGTATTGGTGCGCATGCATATTACCACACTAAGGAGGCTATATTGAAGAGCAGCAGAACACGCAAAGACCTGCCGGAGCACATTGTGCTGTTTACAGACGTCTCAGCATTTACACTCAAGAAGAGGAGAGAGTGTCATGATATCACTGAAGCACTCAGAGAGCAGCGGATCGTATATCGCTGGGGGTACCCAGTCAAGTTGCTGGTGCAGAAGGCCTGCAAAACCATAAATCTCCACTCCGGAGGAAGGGACCCGCTTATTGAAGGACTGGGGCATAGCGACTGAATTCCAGAACAACAAGCCAAAAGAGCCGAAAAGACTAGTTCCAGACTGGAAGAGAGCCAAACACTTATAGACTATATGATAAGGAAGTCGGAGAAAAATTAATAGACCACCTTGAGACGTGCCGCAAGTATCATCATAGTATTTTTGTATGGTTGCAACCAATGTAAAAGCTATATTTGTTTCATTGTCCAAACACCGTTACAACCCTGCAATGTTAGTGGGGGAAACTGGAGTTGGATACTGCCCTTAGGGCAGCTAGAATTGACCAGAAATCTAAGGGGGGAATAAGGCTCTGAGGGGATTGGGATCCCAAGGAGACGCACCGCAAGGTAACCCGGTAGCCAAATGTAATACCCAATTGAAACACTGGTTAAACGTTTAATATTGTATATACTTTATTGTTTGGTTATGTTTTTCTGTTGCCGTACTCAGCGGAATGTGGCAGGTTGCCCAAGACGCTGAGGACTATGCTAGGGACTGGGTGGGCGGCCCCAATTACAGCACTGACAAACCACGTGCCTACAAGGGTAAACGGAAATCATAAGCTCTAACGCAAGCCATAGTACCTGTGGAAATACCACACAGACTCAAGGGGCGGACCTACTCTGCTTGATAGCACTGGGAGGAGTGGGCCACCCCGTGACAAACAGACACTCACATTACTCAGTACAACCAACCATGCTAGACCCTACATGAAAATATACACACATAATGTAAGGGGACTGAATATCCCGGCAAAAAGACACTAACCCGAGAACTACAGAGACAAGGTGCAGAAGTGGTCTGCCTGCAGGAGACCCACTTCCGCACAAATGACCACCGACAGGTATTAGCTATGGAATACCCATATCAGTTTCATTCCACCTCCCTGACGAAGTCCAAAGGCACCTCTATATTGATAAGCAAACATGTATCCTTCTCCCTCAAATCGCAACACATAGACCTCTTGGGCAGATATGTAGTGATAGTGGGAACTCTTAATGACATGGAGTACACAATTGCGAGCATCTACATGCCAAACCAACATCAGAGGAACTTCTTGCACAAAATATGTCAAACCCTGACACAAATAAGACAGGGAATAATGCTGATCTGCGGAGACTTCAATCACATTTTTGACCCAAATATGGACACGCCCACCCACAAATCCAGCAATAGAAACAGGACCCTTAGGCACCAAAGTAAAGCCCTCCAGACCCTTTTACACAATCACCACTACTATGACACATGGAGAATCACACACCCCTTGGAAAAAGCATACACACATTTCTCACACGTGCACAACTCATATTTCAGAATAGATGGGTTCCTCATATCGGGCACCCACCTCAACCAGATTATGACCTGTGACATAGCACAAATCACGTGGTCAGATCACGCCCCAGTACTCCTGAAAATGAAAGATCTATATGATTTTAAACACCATAGCCCCTGGAGAATTAATAACTCCCTCCTCCACAAGCCACAGTTCGTGGCCGATATATCCACCCAACCAAAACAGTATTTTGTGGAAAATGAGACGCCGGACGTCTCATCCACAACTGTCTGGATGGCC